TAGTTACTATAGTTCACCGACCGCCGCTAGGCCGCGCATGGTGACGGCCAAAAACTCGGAAGCAAAATTCAGTCTCGTAGGGTATAAAAGGAGGCCCGCGAGAGTGAATTTTGCTTCCGAGTTTTTTGCCCTCACCATACTCGGCAGCCGAGCCTAGCGGCGGTTGGTGAATGATTACGAGTTAAAATTTCATGCCTCAGTGTAATAGGGTATTCCTCTACATTTTACAATTAGAGTATCTTCTTGAGACCGTATTTCATAGGGAAATCCTCCAAAATCAAGAGGGAACCACTCAAAAATAGAATACTTTTCTTTGGGTGAAATACGGTCAACAAAATCACCAATATTATCTAAATTTATGTTTATATTTACAATAATCATTAAGTTGTAACAGCAACTTATTTTTATACTACATCCAGACATTTTATCCAAGCCAACCAAATAGTGCAGTAGCTATTAAAACATGCATAGTTGAAGTATCAAGAAGCAGTCTGGTTAAGGCAACCAGGTATCGTCACTGCTGCAACAATGTCATTTAACAATTGCTCTGTGGTTATAACAACCAGATAATTAGTTGTTCCATATTTTACTATTTAATCTGGTTGACACAATTAGAATTCTGTTTGTGACAACTATATTGTTTTTCCGTGTAGGAGTCCTAAAAGTAGTAATCACAACTTCCAAGAGAAGCTTTTAGTTCTCATTCCTATAGAAGAGGAAATAACTCTTCGACGTCCGCTTGACCGCGGCCTAAGTACAAAAACCAGAAATTGCGTAATATCAAGATATGACCTTGCGAAAGAGATCAGTCGATATGCCTATAATACATGTCTCGAGGACGTCTTTTGGATTTGTTTTCAAGACGTCTTAAAGATATGTCCTTAAGACAAGTCTAAAAGACGTCGAAAATCAGGACATAAGACGTCTTTAAGACGTCTTTCTGACAACTTCATAAGACGTCTTAGAACTATTTAAGACGTCTTTAAGACGTCTTTTAGACGTCATAATGTTCTCTGGATGCGCATACGTTTCTTCTGTGAATAAATTCAAGAATCTAACGCGCGCAGAAACCCTGTCGGAAAAAATTCTACAAAATTCTACAAAAAAAGTGCTAGGTACCAGAATCTAAGAAATTCTACGTAAATTTAAAAAGTGTTATAAAAATCATCATGAAAGTTCTAGAATTGGAACACTTCCCATACAGCACCGAAAGATTGCAGAAACATTGCATACACCTTTCACTGCAACATTGTAACATTGCATGGAGGTTGCGAAATGTTTCAGCAAACGTTGCTGCAAGCTTGAAGCAACATTGAAATGTCCTCCCTTAGATACATATATTACAATGTAACATTGCAACAATGACACGGTGCAATGTATTTGTAATATTGATTTTATTATGCGTTATTTATATATATAAATATACATGACAGGATACTTAAGATTTTAATAAATTGTTCGGAAAGTTTGTTTTAAATTTCCTGTATATGTATAATATACATGGGAAATTTGAAACGAACTTTTCGAACAATCTAATAAATAAAATTTGAGAATGTAAAGACACCCAAGAGATATATACAATATAAGAAAAATTTGCAACATTTTTTCTTATCTTATCTTATTCTTATCGGATATCATATATCCTCAAACTTTATCTATTAAAATCTAATCTATTAAAATAATAAAAATCTAATCTATTAAAATAATAAAAATGTAATCTATTAAAATCTGAAGTACTTTACATGTTAGAAAATTATTATTAAATTTGTGGTTTATTTAAATATATTTATATAGGAATAGAAATTACCGTGGATTAGAGTGATATCGTTAAGAGACACGTTGGTCGCGAGGATACACTTTAA